TATTTCCTAGAGTCTGTTATAAAAATTAGATTTTTATGTAAAGTGCACAGTCCTGTCTTTTACGTAAAGTGATCTCTTAATAAGTTTGTTCTTTCCTTACTTTATAATTCTGCAGGTCAAATGGAAAACAATTTACCACTTATCTGGTCTTTGTTCTTTGCCTCGAAGTATATGACTTGTATTCAATGATTGGATTTAATCATAAATTGCACAAATACTATCACTTCCTAATTTGAAATACTATAGAATGAGGACACACCTTAACATTGGATAAGGCACTTACATGATTTGAGCCTAATAGTTTTTGTCTGTGTGGGGAGAAGAATTACTAACTACATTAAGTCTTATTTTGAGTAGCAGAAGAAATGGTGTATTTGAAAACATATACCCGTAATTCCAACAAGTTACAAGGCATTGCTTAGATCAATAATGTATAGAGAGATTGACACACATACAATACATTGTGACTTAAATAGATTTCCCCTGGTAACAATATTTTGGAGTTTAAAGTTTTTTCCTGGATATTAACTTCAAAAGGGATATAGATCAGCCGTATATTTTTCTTTTATTTCTTGAAAGTTGATAAACTAGTTTTAAAAATTATTTTATTATTTTCTTAACTAATTATTAACTAATTTTATCAGATATTTATATTGAATTGCAATAAGTAAGTGATATAGAAAACAAATTACAAGCCTTATTTCAATACTAAATACATGTAGATGTCACATAAATATCTTAAGTATAACATGACTAATGTTAAGACCTTCTCTTTGTCTTACACTGTCTTTGAGTGTTTGAGCTCCAACAATATAGTTCAAACATTCAAAGACAGTATAAGACAAAGCAGAAGAGAGACCAGTTAGCTCAACCCACTCCTTTTACTGTCAAGAGAAAAAACAAAAACAAAAACAAAACTAAAGAATCAAAAATCATGAGTAACTCGGCCACACCACTGAACTATTTAGCATTATAACTCAAAATTGGCTTCAGATCTCCATTTTAACATTAATTGAGTAATTGTTCTAAGTTCTGCCAATGATCAGTGAAGTTGGATAGACAAAAATATTCTTGAGATGTGCTGATGTATTAACTAGTTGAATAGTTCTATGGGGCATTCAATCACTTTCTTCATATAAGTTTTGGCTGGGCCACATTCTCAGTGTCCCAACACAGCCTTGTTTCAGAGAGTTTCAATTTATGTATACTCTGACTTGAGTCAAATAATGTGAAAATGATTTAAGGGCATCTTCTGTTTATGTAATGCAAATATTAAGCCACTTTTATAGTCAGTCATTTAGAACAATAATTTTGTTATCCAGAGAATGTAACCTATCATACCTTGAAGATCTTACAATTTTTAATACTCTTTTTAATACTTAAGTAGATTTGCATAGTTACATTTACATATTCAATCTCTAAAATGCAGGAACTCTGAAATAGGAGATGTTGATATTTTAAGAGATAACTATTGAAACTATTTATCTTATATATTTAATTATATTGCTTAGAGAAAAACTTTGTTTTTCAGTATTGAAAACACTTCATTTGAATGAAAGCTAAAACAACCAATTTAAAAAGAATCACATCAAAATATTACATTTTTTCTTTTCATTTTTCTTGATTTACTAAGTATAACAGCATGCATGAAAATAACCAATTTAAAGAGAATCCCATCAAATTATTACATATTTTTTGTTTTCATTTTTAAATTACTAAGTGTAATAGCATATATTAATGAAGTATGTCTACTCACATACTCTTAAAGTAGTTCCAGTGGCAGATTTTGTCTGCTTTATAGTTTAGTCTTAATACACATATTTTGAATGAGATCATCAACCAAGCAGTGAGGAGTTAGCCAATAAAATGCAGTTTTTTCCTTCAAATTTAAGCATTAAATCATATCTGCTTGTAATATTTACTCTTGAAATTGGCTCTCCCTTCTTTATCACAATGTTCAAAACATTGAGGAAATGGAAATATATATCTCTATATATTTTAGAAGTATTATCTAAAGCATCAAACATTATATTTGGTTTTTATACAATGATAGCTAAAGAGCTATTGCAGTACAAAGCAACATTCATCCCTCTCCTGTGCAAAATGACTATTTGTTACATCATTTCTTTGTTAATACTTTAATCTGGGCTTGTAAATGTGATCCAATATTATTTTGTACAGTAAAATGTTTGCTTTAGTCTGTTTCATCTCATCTTCATATTGCTGTTTCAAATGTTAAAGGTTTTAAGAAATCAATTTACGACATGTTACAGCTCTGAGTAAATAAAGACTTAATAAATTAACAGTAATGCCTTAGGAGACTATACAGTGGCCAAAGGTGGAAACAGTGTTAATTAAATTTTATAAATTCCTATTTTCTCCTTTGGATTATTTTACTTAATTTTAGAAAAATCCTCAGGAGTTATGGCAGGTATGGTCAGTTTTTTTTTTTTATTAGAAGCCTCCCCATTCATTTTATTTTTAATTGGCAATAGTCCTGGTTTTGTGTGATTAATTGCCATCTGCTGATCCATGTGCACAGGAAAACCGTCCCACTCCGAGTGGGATCATTACTGGATAAGATCACATGCACATGTGACCTAAACCTAGCCAATGGGAATCCGGTGAGGTCTGCTGGAGGGCATCTGGGAAAGATTTTTCTCATTGATAAAATAGGTACACACAGAAAGGAATGTATTTATCTTTTCCGGACATTGTAGTTTCTGCGTGTGACGACTAGAACTCAATAATGAGGAACTTGATTACCAGCGTGCTAAGAATGACAGGACAGAGAGCTGCAAATACATTGGATTTGAAGAATGACAGGATTAAGCTGGTTTGTTTACAGTTATCTAAAGCAGGAAACATTCTCTCCAATATAAAGGTCAAGATTGCGTCTGGCATAGTTGGAATTACTCCATAAGGAGCTTCTTATGTAAACCATGTAAAGCTGCACTTGGTATTAATATTCAAGGGTAAAAAGAGAGGGCATGTCCTTCGAATATAATTCCTCATTCCCCACAAGCTCTTTTTCTCTTCCATCTCCTGGTTACATTTCTACAAACTGAGTAATGAGAAACAATATATGCAACATGCAACAGACTGAGAGTCTAAAATGCTGGTGCGGAATGTTCTTATCCTTTAATTTTGTGAGTCCTTTAGGAATGCTGTGTCATTAGTATTTAAATCACTTCATAAATATTTCACTTTAAATACCATTGTAATGTCTTGTGTATGCCTTAATTTGTGTCTAACATAATGGTTTTGTATTGTGAGACAATTTCATCAGGGCACTTACACGATTAAAAAGAGATTTAATGGAGCTCTTTATCTTTACTTTGAGTTGACCAGGGAACAGAAAGCAAAAGGCCATATCATTCCTGCAAAAATAGCTTCTTCTATTTAGATACTTTGTATTGTGAAAGAAAAATCAATATATATATGTCTTACAATATGTACTCAGAACAACTGTAGACGTTGTAGTTTAAACAGGATAAAGTAGAGAAGGGAAAAGGAGAGAAACAGGGGAAAAACCCTCAAAGCCTTGTATGGGGAAAATGAGGGGAAAAATGGAGGCTACAAATGAAGGTTAAAATGTGGGAAATTTCTTAGACTATTTAAAGCTTTATTTTCTTTGACTTATCTTCTATTGTTCTTCCATTACAATATCATTCTAGGGTGTTCAAGAATTTGAACGCCATATGGATACATTCCACAGAAAAAAATCTTCTCAGGGATAACATCGTCAGTGTTTCATTATGCACATGAAGGAATTTGAGGTTTTCTGTTCTTGTAACTCTGTTAAAAATATATCTGATAAGAACTCAAGAGGCATATTTCTTTCCCTAAACATCTCATGTCTTATTAGTTTGCTCTTATTGTATTAATTGAAAGTCCTCCTGAAATTACTGAAGAGTGAATTATATCTTATACATTGCATCTTTTATAGTATCAAAACAGCAATTGCTGAAAATTGTCTTTTAAAAAACTGTCTCATGATAACAGCGTAAAATCATCTCTTCTTGTTTGCCCTCAATGATCATATTCTTAATCATAAAGTAAAGGTTTGGGGATATTTTTAAATTCCATTCAAATCTAGAGAAAAAAAATGGAGAAAATTTGCCACAAAATTACAAGCAAGAGCAAAACTAACATTTTAACTAGCCTAAGTGTTTCGATAAGATTAAAATCATTAAGATTGTATGCTATTATTTACATATTTACCCTTCTGTGGAACTTACGTACCATGTAATTTTGATACTAGAAAAAGACATTATGGAGAGTTGAGTCATTATTTTCAGGGAAAAGTGCACTGTTTTCTGGCTAAGAAAGTTACGCAGTGCAGCAGCATCGAAAAGAATCACAGATCCCTCTAAATCTGAAGGAAAAATGGGGCCAATAAACTCATATTTAAATCAACACTGACTTGATCTCCGAAGACCAAGACTGGATTCGCATTCTTGAATACAACTTTTTTTTCTATATAACTGACATCCTAGGGTAAGAGCCCATGAAAGAGAATAGCATTAATTTTCACAAGCTTTGCTTAGAAGGAAAGACAGAGAAATAAAGAAAATATAAGAAAATTGGAGAGACATGGAGAAGAAATGAGAATGTCCAGAGAATCTTTGGAAAAGAGTTCCAGGAGGATAGAATAAAGAGAATTAGAAAAGACAACCTTCAAAGAAAAGAATGACCGAGGATATTTCAGAGTCGCTGAACCATGTAATCTCATATTATAAAAACTTACGAAGTCTGGAAAAGTATTTTAAAATCTATTTCTAGATACATACCAGTAAAAGACAGAGAAGAAAGAAAAAGATCAGGCATAAGAAAACAACCCATAACCTGAAAAAAGAAAAGTTATCTTTCAAATGATCAGACTTAGAAAATTCCCAACAGATTTTTCAAAGCCAACAATAGATGTTAGAAGATAATGGACAGTAACAGGTAAATGCGTAAACTTCAATAAGGTCAAAACAACCACGTTCACCTGGAAGTACAGACAGGTCACAGTTTATTAAGAACCCAGGAGCATACTCTAGTCTTCAAGTGTCTTGTATTGTGAGTCAAGTTGACTCACGATAGCACTTCTCTCAATACTAGTATGAAATAATTAGCATTGTTGCTTCTTTTATAGAATCCCCAAGTAACATTTGGAAGGACACCTTATGGATTTTGCAGTCCAAAGCATGTGCCCATGTGTCTTCTCTGTCTCTATGCTGCAAGTTGTCATCAAACACTTTCTCAGTTGACCTAGGATGAATTAGAGCAAGGCGATGGATGAGTGGTCACATTTGTACCATTATTCTTCAATGTGAACGTAAAGGCATGGCAAGTAGCAAAATAATGGCTGTGTCACATTTTGAGACACTTGAATATAACTCAAGTCGGAGGAATTAGGTGGCTGTGGAGTGAACTTCATTTAAATTAGAACATTCGCAAAAACACACAGAAATACAGTGAGATAGTATAATATGTCACATAATATTGAGTATGCTTAAATTTATGTATGGTACAAACTATTCTAACATCTTCAAATTGCTGACAGTAGAAAAAAATAGTATAATTTTGTGCAATGAAACCATGACTCTACGACAGTTCATAAAATAAAGTCACTTTCGAAAAAGACTAAGGGAATTTATTTCCAATACAATAAAACTGGAAAATAGTGATAAAGTATTTGGGAAAAAACATGGATCCTAAATGGAAGATTCAAGCGGAAACATTGACATGGGGAGGCAGAAGTAACCATAAGAAAATGACTCATTTGATGAACATGCAATGGGTAGAGCTATAATGCTGAAATATGCAGCATGTACCACAGAAGTTGGCAGTCAGAATTAAAGGAGTCTAAGATCCTCAATTATTTTCAACAAGCGTAATAGTGATAGTTGCTTTTAAAAGTTAAATTTAGGCTGGGAGCAGTGGCTCATTCCTATAATCCCAGCACTTTGGGAGACTGAGGCAGACAGAGCACCTGAGGTCAGGAGTTTGAGACCAGCCTGGCTAACATGGTGAAACCCCTTCTTTACTAAAATTACACACACACACACATTAGCTGGGCATGGTGGCAGGCAGCTGTAATCCCAGTTACTTAGGAGGCTGAGGCAGGAGAATTGCTTGAATCCGGGAAGTGGAGGTTGCAGTGAGCCAAGATTATGCCATGGCACTCCAACCTGGGCAACAAGAGTGAGATTCCATCTCGAAAAATAATCGTAATAAAAAAGTTAAATTTAAATAGTAACAATTTAAATCACTGTGAAATAGAAATATGATATCAGTTGTTTAAAATAACGGCAGTAAAAAGGAGGGTGCTAACTCCAATCAATTACAAGGAAGGTAAGATGGAAATAAAAGAGAAAAAGCAGGGTTAAGGAAAGTATGAAAAATGGATGGCAGTAACAAATCAAAAAATATCAAAAATGATAGCAACTCACTAGTTACAAAGAAGATAATACCTTTAGATTTTGTTTTCCCAAATCCAGCTATAAATCACAAGAACACAAAAAGATTGAAATTTAAAAGTTAAGAAATAGAATTAATGCTGCTGTATTAACACAGAAGATTGAAAAATGTTAAATAAAAAAATACTAGGGCTGATGAAGGTCATTACCTTCATTATGATAAAAAAAAATTACCAGGAAAAAATATATAATGTCAAATTGAAATACACCTCATTGCATATTATTTGACAGAATGACAAGAAGAAATTGACAAATATATTATAGTAGAAAATATTCCAATTGAACTGTTTCCTAGGTATCAAGAATACAGTGAAGCTTCATGGGTTAGAAAATTCTATGTTAAGCTTGAAGTAATGTAGGATGCAATAAATCCCCAGCCTTGAGAACCTTCTAACAATCGTCTTGACAATTCTGGAATTCACATGTCTCAGCTGTAAAACAACTTAGTCGTATGACAATTTTTCTGACCTCAAACATTTTGACATTAATAACACTATATATGATAATACTTTTAAAATTATATAACTTATATTTCTAGAAAGATGAGGTAGATATACTTTTCCCTATGTCTTCACTTAAGTTCAACTAAAAATACTTAAAATGTTACAGTGTTTAAGAAGACTCTATAAGTGGAGGGAAGATGGCAGACCAGCCAGGGACCTTGGCAGCCAAAAATGATGTGCTGGTGAGTGCTCTGAGCTTTCATTTTGCCTCTTATGCCCCAGATGTGGGCAGGAGACGCTGACAACCCAGAAATGCCAATAAAGGCTCCGATAAAGCTTGCTGTCTCTAGCCAACTGACCAGAAAAGGGAAGCATAACAGTGCAGAAAATGTACAGTCAACACTGCCCAACTCTAGCCACAGAAAACAAAATGTCTCAACTCCTACCCCTCTCCTACACCCGCAAAGGTCCCCTGGGGAGCCTGGACTTCCACACTTCCCAGGTTGTAATGATGTGACCCAAATACCACCATCGCCACCAAGGTGGTCTCAGAGCAGGCTGAATAGAGAATTGGGACACTCAGCCCTGCCAGCGCAACTAGAAACCATTTTCCACAGTGTCGGAGACTCCACGGAGGGCCTGGACGTCAACTCTCCACCCGGCAGGAACAAGGTGCCACCTACCCCAAGTGGGTAGTATCTCATGAAGGTCATTACCTTCATTATGATAAAAAAAAAAATTACCAGGAAAAATAACGTAATGTTAAATTGAAGTACACTTCATTGTATATTATTTGACAGAATGACAAGAAGAAATTGATAAATTTATATTATAGTAGAAAATATTCCAATTGAACTGTTTCCTGGGTAACAAGAATATAGTGAAGCTTGTTATTATTATAAGTGGGTATTATCAGAGGAGGCATGTGGAAAGGAGAGTCAGGGCTTTCATCTCTAGCTAGAGATAACAAGGCAACCGCTAACTTCATAGTATCCGTAATAAGGTGTCCAGTGGGGTGGTATCGGCAGAGGCCTAGGAGAAAATCGGCATATCTACTAGTAGTGAGGGGCCGCTTCTCACCTTGGGTGGCAGCAGCCTTTTCATTTTCACAGCCCACTCGTACCTTTGTAAGGCTGGAGGTTGATGACTATAATGAGTGTCATAATTGAAAGACTTATTTTTTTCTTTGAGAGGGAATCTCACTCTTGTCCTCGAGGTTCACTGCTCACTGCAGTACCCTCCTCCTGGGTTCAAGGGACTCTCCTGTCTCAGCCTCCCAAATAGCTGGGACTACAGGCACGTACCACCATGCCTGGCTAATTTTTGTATTTTTAGTAGAGACAGGGTTTCGCCATGTTGGCTAGGCTGGTCTCAAACGCCTGGCCTCAAGAGATCCACCTGCCTCAGCTTCCCAATTCCCAATGTGCTAGGATTACAGGCATGAGCCACTGTGCTAGGCCTAAAAGACATTTTTATTTCAGCCTGGGCTCCTCATTTCTTAGGCAATGCATTCCTCTCAAAACAGTCTGTTCTAACCCTTTCAATGCTACTAACCAGTCCAACATTTCTTTCTTAGATGTAACTTTCAAATATGTTTTATTTAATTTCTTTCTTGCTCCAGTGCCACTTTTTCAGATCATACCACCATATGTCTTGATTACATTTGTTCAATGACAAACGTTACTAGTCTTATGCTATCCAATACTTTTTTTTTTTTTTTTTTTTGGAGACTGGGTCTTACTCCTTTGCGCAGGCTAGATTGTGTAGTGGTGCTATCATAGCTCACTGCAGCCTTGACCTCCTGGGTTCAAGGTATCCCTTCTGGGTAGTTTCAACTAGAGGCGCACATCACCACACCCAGCTGATTTTTGTATTTTTTGTAGTGACGGTGTCTCACTGTGTTGTCCAAGCAAGTCTCAAATTCTTGGCCTCAAGCGATCCTCCCACCTCAGCTTCCTGAAGTGCTGGGATTACAGACGTAAGCTCCTGTACCCAGCCCCAAAGACTTAAATATTTAATTTCAACTATTTGAAGTATAGGTACAGTATGATTTTCTAACTCTGAAAGTTCAAGAATTTATGGAAGCTTTATAATCGATGTATTTTCCTACTTATAAATCATTCACTTATTTCCTGAACTCATCTTTCTCATCATATTTTTCCAAAAATAGTGAATTTTAGCCAATACATACAACTATGACATTATTTTCCAACTTCTTACCTCATGGCTTCCAGCACAATGGCATATACCTAGTCCTTTTATGCCATCAAATTGATGATTTTACCAAAAGTTTTCCTGACATATAACATATATCTTTACAACTTTCAATGTAGAATTCCTTATCATCCACACCTTAACATTAAGCCAATGACACATAATAATTTGATATCCCAGCTCCTTATTTCTGGATATAAATTTGTTTTATTTAGGGTTGGCTAAGCTGTTTTTCAGAAACAGAGAAATCTCAATATCCCAGTTAGTTTAATAGCGTGAAGCTTTATTCCCTGCTCAAACAAAGGCATGTGTTCTCGTTTATATAGGTCTTCTGAATGGTTCTCCTCCATATAATCAGAGACACAGACGCTCTATATAGCATTTCTACTTCCACTTAGAGTCTTCGGGTCCTACATGAATTCCTGGTATCTAATTGAGCAATGAGCAGGAGTGGGAGGACATTTTCATGGGTCATTTCCAAGGTTAGGCTGGAAATTGGCACACGTCAATTCCAATGTCCCAGACACGTTACGTGGTGGCACAGGGATGTGAGGGGACTCAGTGAATGTAGTTTACATGTGTCCCAGGAAAAAGAGGAGCTCTGCATATTGGTCAACACAAACAGGCTTCCCTAACATGAAGACTGAAACACTTGGTTGCTAAACGGGCAGCCCACTTAAAGGGATTAATACAAAAGAACAGATAAATATATTTTGAGGGCTGAATAGCAATCCCCATCCTAAGTGTAAACTTTCATTTCTTAAATGCCTTACGAGGTATGACAATTGGAATCACCGTAAATGAAAAAATAAATAAAATAAAATAAAAAATTTGGCCGGGCACGTTGTCTCACACCTGTAATCCCAGCATTCTGGGACTCTGATTTGGGCAGATCACAAGGTCAGGAGTTCAACACCAGCCTGGCCAACATGGTAAAACCCCATCTCTACTAAAAATACAAAAATTAGTTGGGTGTGGTGGCGGGCGCCTGTAATCCCAGCTACTAGGGAGGCTGAGACAGGAGAATCATTTGAACCTGGGAGGCAGAGGTTGCAGTGAGCTGAGATCACCATTGCACTCCAACCTGGGCAATAGGGTGAGAATCCATTAAAAAAAAAAAAAAAAAAAAAAA